ATGTAGGTTCATGTTTCTGTGGTCTTTGCACCTGCTGTTTGTGTGTCGTTGCACTTGTAATACCCACATTTGTAATTCATAGTATTCCTGATTTAATTCTGATTTAATTTCTTGTTATATAGATCAGTATATAATTATAATAAAAGGATATGATATTACATTGTTTTTACAGTGTCATTAAGTTTTGTTTTAAATATATCGATTATTACATGATCATACATATCTCATATTAAAAAATATCAATTATTAAAAAGATAATTATTATATAATATATGATAGCCCATAACACCTCCCCACTAAAAAAAAGTTTTCTGTCTGCAAGACAGAAATCTTTTACAATATTTTCCAAGTTTTTACAAAATTTTTTACAAAATCTTGTTTAACAATACATAACATTCTACATATATGTTTTACATTGAACATTTAGTAAATATTAATACTTTTTTTCTTTTATAACACTGAATAATTTTTCTTAATTCTAAAACTGAATACAATTTAATTATTACTTTGGTTAGTGATTTACAATTTGTTTTCAAACATGCAAACTCTTACAATGTGATATACTTAATATCCTAATGTAAGTATTACACATCTACCAATTACATTTTTTTTTTTTTATTATTACCAATATTACCATTATAATATTTTATCATTCTCACTTATTTAAACTTATTGAATTATTATTTCAACAACAAAATATTACTGTGATTCATTCAAGTAACTATTAAATATTTTATCATTGTAATTGTAGAAATCAAATTGTTATTGCCCAGGATATCCAGAGTTATTTTCATAATTATGCATTATCCCAAGAATGGTGTTACAATTTGATTATCCTCAACTCATCTTTAAAATAAAATTAATTATTCTTACAATTATCATATCAAGTGATAAGTATTTATATGCAGATAAATTCCTTCTTCTCTCACTTCTAATTCCTCTCTTCTATATTTCCTAACTCGTAATTTACCTTCTTCTGTTAGAATGATAGGCCTCCCTTCCATTTTAACAGATGTGTATTTATGAAGATTATTGAAAATGGCTCCCGATACTAATAGTATATCCTTTTTATTTACCATTGCAAATTTCAAATCGATAACTACAAACCTTATCTGCGAACTACAAAATATTATAAGTTAATACTACATTTACATATATACATATATTATTATATTTTTGAAAAGTCCGTCTTCATTTAATTCGTCTATGATTCTACCCAATTCATTAGAAGTTGGTCTCATAGAGTTTAGAGATATGACTTCCTGCGTAAATTGTTGTAATCCGAGCATTATTCCCATTAATTGTGCGCTCGTATATGGTTCCGTCATTATACTGTTTGCGTCCATCATATGTTCATTAAAACATGGTAATTCAATTGTATTTCCTAATTCTCGTGTCCCTAATTCTATTTGGTTATCACCTAAAAATACTCGCAATTTCCTCATGAATTCCTTAGCTCTTTCCATAATTAAAATTTTATATAAATATATGTATTGTTTGATTTTCTTTTCTTTGTAATTAATTCTACCTGCAATATTTATGTAACCCTTTCAGACCCGAATTAATTGTAGTTGAGAAAAAAAATTAGCGATTTATATATGTTATAATAGGTACTTGATTAAGGTTCTCTTCAAGTTCGAAGAGATTCTGACCATCTGGACCAAAGATACAGCTATGCACATTATAATGTCCATTGGGCCAATATGGAGAAACTTTTGTGCACATTACAATGTACATTGGGCTTTCTAGCATAAAACACTAAGCATATTATAATATGCAACGGGATTTAGGTGATAAACTTATGCTTGGCTGGTGTTGGAAGTCTGTATTCCTTTATAGTTAGAGAATGTTGGGTACTCCTCCATGACATTATATTTTGAATCATAGAATAATCCACGGTGTCCTATGCCTGATAGGAAAAAAGGCGAAGCTGTACACTTTCAAGTTCAAAAATGCTGGCCACAAAATTAATTGATAGTTAATAAATATAAATATATCATTATACATATTATATAATAAACTATTTTTCATAATATGAATATATACCCTGTATTTGTGCTCACCCAATATTCTAAAAAGTATTTTATTTAATTTAAGTTGTGTACTGATTCTATTTTTTTTATAATTTAATTAATATAGTTATGTAATTTTTGAGAGTATTTGACTATATTCATTCAAGAAACTAAACAAATATTATTATTTATTTAACGGATTGCATATAAGCAGAGTATTAGTGTAAATATAAAATTCACTTAGAAAACAATTAAATAAAGCCATAACTCAAAAATTTAAATAACATATATTAATTAAACTAAAAAAAAAAAAATACCTCAAAATAACACTTAAAATTATAAATTATTTATTCTTAAATGAATATAGGAATCTCAGTTTTTGTAACGTCTATATTATTTGTCTTGGTTTGCCAAATTAAAATTCATCCCTTTAACTATTTTGATAAGAATTACTTAACTACTACAGCACTACATTAACATAATATTATATCAATATCTTCTTTTTAATTAAAAAAAATAAAAATAACTATAACAAAAACTATAAATTGACTTTACTTAATTTTACAACATCTTCAGTACATAAAAAAATATTTTCAATGATATGACATATTGATTTTTGAATTAGAAAAATTATATCAATACATTCATAGTTATTTTAAATATTAAAGTTGATATCCTGAAAAATAATTAAAACCTACTATAATTAAATATTAAAATTAAATTAATATTATTCAAGTTCATTAGCTTACTTTTTAGAATGTCGATGTTGGTATTATTTGTACTTAGTTTAATACCAATTCTTTTGCAATAAAATAATTAGCTGTGAAAATAGAATACATTAATGTTTATATGCATATTTAGTTTCTGTGCATCTGATAATTGGACCACAGCAGTAAGTTCAATAAAAATGTAACAATTAGTTATCAATTATCATATTCTGTATGTAGTCCAATACTCTGACCAAAGTTCTGAAATTATATTATAATTTAATAATATTCAAATTTATAAAGAACTAGATATTCATTTAAACTTACAATTAACAAAAAAGTATTTTATATTTGATTTTCTGATAATTCAAATCACAAGTATTATGGAATGGCAAACCATAACTATTATTACTAGAATGTATTAAATCCATAGCACACAATGTATGTTACAATAATTCAAATAATTAACTAATTTAATACTGAACCATATTTTATAAAACTACCTATGAGATTAAAATACAATTTGATTATCATTAATTAATGTCTAATGAATTCATCTATACTTACTTTTTAAAGGTATACTTTTTTTAAATTAGTCCACAATGTTTGGTATCACTGTTGGTTTAATAGAAAACTATTGTAACTAAATTAATTTAGTTTAGCACTTTATCAATAAAGTATTTGGTATTTTCATGTGTTGAAAAACATCAAGTTCAAGTCAATTTTGTATATTACAACACTGTCACCGTTAAATATTATTGTATAAATATTCAACAGCTTTCATTAAAATTGCTTGGCATACAATATATTATTTGAGGTTTAATATTCACTCGAATGGTCCACAAGGTTTTTTTTAGGATTATTTGAGTAAGTAATATAATTTACGAGGGCTATTCAGAAACTAGGGAACGTTTTGTAATAAAACAAAAACTAGGTACAGTAAAAATATTTTATTATATACATCTGAAAGAGTGACTAAAATGCTACTTTTCTACATAGTCACCAAACAAATTAAGGCACTTATCGTAGCGGTGGACAAGCTTCGAAATTCCTTCGTCATAGAAATCCGTCGCCCGCGATCTCAGCCACTGAGTGACGCACGCCCGGAGCTCGTCTTCGTCATCAAAACGCTGTGTCGCTAGTCAGTTCTTCATCTTCGGGAACAAGTGAAAATCACTCGGTGCTAGGTCGGGACTGTAGGGTCTGATCGGTACTGCCAAACATTGCGCAAGCTTAGAAGAGCAGTGCAAAACAAGCGCCGAGGAAAGTTATCGCCAAAAATTTTGTTTTTTCATGACAATGCCCAACCTCACACGGCAAATCGAACTGCAGAACTTCTTGACTCATTCAAATGGGAGATTTTCCCACATCCACCCTACAGTCCCGACCTAGCACCGAGTGATTTTCACTTGTTCCCGAAGATGAAGAACTGGCTAGCGACACAGCGTTTTGATGACGACGACGAGCTCCGGGCGTGCGTCACTCAGTGGCTGAGATCGCGGGCGGCGGATTTCTATGACGAAGGAATTTCGAAGCTTGTCCACCGCTACGGTAAGTGCCTTAATTTGTTTGGTGACTATGTAGAAAAGTAGCATTTTAGTCACTCTTTCAGATGTATATAATATAATATTTTTACTGTACCTAGTTTTTGTTTTATTACAAAACGTTCCATAGTTTCTGAATAGCCCTCGTACTTGCTGGATGAATAAGTGTCATGATTACAGTAATATTGAAGTTAAACACATATGATGCCATGATGGTGGTCACTGGTCATTCAGTTTTGAACAATGTACAATATTCATGTTGTGTACCTACTTATAATTGACATAGATTTTAAACAGGCAACAAGACGGTATTGGTATGTTGTGCGGAAGACAACGTATAGATCCTAAATTTCGAAACACAAAAAAGGTGAAAATGATTTCTGGTGTAAAATCAGGGTGTTGTTGCAATCGTTAGGCGATTCCGAATCGTGTCCATAAATTTTTGGAAAAAAATCTCATCAATTACGCTCTCGAGGGGAGGAAATGTATCATTTGCCACAGTATTGCATGAAAAATCCGATCTTCGGTAATGGAATCGTAGTAGACCCATTTTTAAAATGTTATCCACCAAATTTACAGCAAGTGTAGAGAACGTCATTACCTATTGTTTGATATGATTTTCAAAATGATCGGTTGAGATTACGATTTAGTTTATTATAAAAGAAATACCATACAATGTACTCAATTACAACCATGAAAACGGAAATTGGGATTATCAAATATAATAATTTATTATCATTGTTTATAGTAAACCCGATTATCACATATAACCGCACTCCCAACGATAGGATAAAAATTTAATATCAGCTGATTAACTTTTAATCACTGATTAATATCTACGTGTTATTTAAAGTACCTACTGAATTTGTTGATCGGGACAAAAGTTCATTTGCTAAGCTGATAGAAGTATACCAGTTATCGTTGAATATTGTTCTCCCCATATCCAAGTAGTCTTCAGACAACTCCATGACGATTTTAGTTGAAAGTCCCATTCCAGGAACTGATTCCTGTCCAGCATATATTTTGAAATCTAGTGTATATCCATCATTCATGCATAGCTTGTAAACCTTTATTCCATACCTATGCCTTTTGGATGTATTGACGGAATGACAAACGTCCGACAAAAGAAATAATTGATTCGTCAACACATAAGTTTTCACCTGGTACGTTACAATTTTTAAATTTGTATTCTAACATATCGACTAAGCCACGGATCTTAAATATTCGATCTCCTCGAAGACATTCATTATTATTACAACAATGAAAACTTCTTAGTAATAATTCAAATCGATTTCTTTTCATAAAATTAGGAATGTTAGATTTATAAATGTCATTTTTGCTCCAATATGATGTTATAGATGGTTGAGGAATCAATCCCATCCATATTATGATACCCAAAAATGTCCTCATTTCTACTATGTCGGTTTCTACCCATTCCTTAAGCCTAGATTTTGGCTGTTGGGCTGAAGCATATAAGCTGTTACCATATCTATTTGTTTCTATAACTAATAAAATCAAAACATCGTCATCGACAAACAAAAAAAAATCGTATGGGGACCCGTTATCCGGGTTAATTCCAAAAGGCTCGTCATTAGGATTGATAACTAGACACGAAGTATTACTATTCGTTAGACAACAAGTAGATGAAGTTTGAGTAGGAAAAGTATTAATATTTGGCTCGTAAGGTATATTACTATCTTCTTCGTCGCTCGAAGAAAAAATGTACCATGCAGAATCCAGTCAACTCCGCCATATGGAAGTATACCATGGTCACTTGAAAGAGATTTCCTAATGAATGAGAAGGGAGGGATGACAGATTTTGCACGATTCTGAATATGGCCCTTTTGACTGGAAAACAGGAAGATATCACCGAGTTGATATTTTCTGTGAAATTCAATGAGGGCCTTAACTCCATCATTACAGGGTGATCCTGAGACTACAAACTTCGGCATACGCCGCTACTCTGCTCTTGTACCAATTCTCTATGTTAGCCGAGAAGAGCCGTTTTGTTATAAAGTTAAGAAATATACCTGATAAGGCTTTACCAATCGAAATGTTTATTTTTATCTCTGCATATGAATCCGAGGCGATTGTCTCCCCGGACGCCGCACTTATCCATTCCTCGGTCTCATCCGGACCTGAGGCTCCGACTAGCATACCGCTATCAATCAGAGCTCACCTTAATTTATCGTCAGTCATATTCATTAGAGATCTGATTATGTTGATGTATATTGTTAAACTTTCTATAGGCTCCAGATCTATTTCAGATAGAGATGCCATCTAACAGCTCGAAGTTATAATGAAAAACGTTTTTCTGACATGACTGTCCGGAAATATTCAGGAGAAAAACCGTCAGTATTCCACAAATCGTGTAGGTTCAAATGATTGCTACGCAAATACCTAGCCAAGTACAATAATCCTAAAACGACATCTATTTATTCTTTCGTAGTATCACGCATATTCTTATTATGTTGATAACTTGCACGGATTTTCGCTAAATATTAGTACACTCAACTATGTCTATAACTACAGTATTAATGGCGCACACGACGTTGGCGAACAAATAAAACACTCGCGAAACGATAATAAAAAAAAACAACTGTGCGACAATGGCTAATACGAGCGCGACGATGGCAATCGGAAACTTCACATTCACAAACGAGAGCACGATACGTAAAAGGTTTCCTGAGGTCTCTCGATGGTGAGAACGGAGTGAATGAGACGACGACGGTCAAACCACGTGGCGCGGAGTGCTATGGGTGGCGAAATATATAACAAAAAAAAACCCTAACGACGAAGTGGCGTACAGTGTACATGACGTCGGCAATTGTCAGTGTTAACGGTGGCGACGCACCGGTACAAACAATGGCGGATATGCTATTTTGCCTAGACGGCTACGTATAAAACATGAACACAAGCACATGACGGTGATGATGAACGCGCAGACGACCGACGAGAGACCGGTCCTGGGAGCGGGCAGCAGGCTAGCCATCGGAAAACAGCACAGCTGACTACCTTTTCTCAAGATATCGATCATGTTATCGACCAAGTTTGCAGGAGGCCAATACGCTGCGATCCTCGCACGCCATTGGTACCCAACATTTTCTTCCCGCGTTGAAAAACATGGGGCTTTCAAAATAATCCAGGTGAGAGTTGATGAAGTAGTTAGAAGTAACCAGGACGTACACCTTACAATGTATATGTTACTGGAAAAGATGACATTCAGTCATTGATGATAATTCCTAATAAAAGAAGGCATTGATAATAACGCATTTCATTTAAATCCATTTTTAAACAGATTGTTGGAAAAAAAAACAATGTTATTACGTTACTATTCATTATTTTAATGCAAAAATAGTACCGTACAGTCACTTGCGGGATGTGACCATAACGATACCAGCTACGGTAATTCTGTATAGCCAATTTTATTAAAGTGCATATGTTTTTGGTTGATCATACACAATGTTCTCTAAGAACATAATTCGTTTCATGTAACGAGGGTTTCAAACTTCAAATTTTATTTTGCATTTTTTTGCATGTTTCGACGTTTTATTATTCTTGGTATTATTGGGTAATTTTGTTGGTTTTTATTGCATATTTCGATATACTAAACAAATTTAGCCTATTCAAAATAAAATCAAAAGACAAATTATTTTCTTGATATTTGAGTAGGTTTATCGGGTTTTTCGATACACATTGTCAATCTTTATTTTTCGATTCAGTTTTTATCTTAATTTATGATTATGGTACGTCACCAGTATTCAGTCTAATAACAAATACATAATTAGTCAGTTCATATTACATCGCAAATGTTGCTCGTATTACGTGTGTTTGTCATTTTAATGTATTGAATAATGCCTAAAATAAAAAAAATGTCATTTTTATGGTAAAATGCTTTTTTTAAGGACATTTTTGGCTATTTTTTAGAGCATATTTCTATAGTTTTAAACCGTGATACACGAACTCCTTTGTTATCCAGATAAGATTTTATGGACAACTTTATGTCTGCGGGGATTAAGGGGAACCCGAAATCTGCAAGTTTGGTACAATGCTGCGCAAAGCTAATTTTCTCGGCCGTACTTAAAGTTGTCGGACGTCCAATATTCTTACCGTGTACTTTTTTCAATTTATTTTTATAGTCGATCTAGGTATTTTATAGTATACCGAGGCTGCGCATTGGGTCATTAATTTAATTTTAATGGCTCTCAGACATGCCTCTAATATCTGCGGCTTGTAATTTACGTATTGCCTCGTACCTGGTAATCAAGTTGTTTTACGCGGCATTGTTGACTTTTAAACAAAAAGGATAAGAAAAATGAGGGACCATAAAAAAATTAGATAGGATAATACCTTTAATACCTCAAAAAACCATTTGTAACAATAATATAACCAAATGTTAAAAATGTAAAAAAAAGATTTTTATACTCAGATTTTAGTTATCACTATCAAATAATAGTGGGACAAAGTTACCCCGAGCTCAAAAATGTAAATTAATAACAACACATTTATGTTTTTTTTCAATTTGATAATAAATAAGTACTATATTTATGAAAATGTGTCAGATTTACAGAGTTCAGCGACAATTTTTTCGTACAGCACTTGATCAAAGTTATTACACGTGTTTTTTGGCGTTGATAAAACGTTACGACTAATATTTTAATTTTGATAACAAGGCAAGTGATAACGGCAACTGTTATCATATTCGGTTACTAGTGTTGTCGACTATCGGAAAACATCACAATATATTGATAATAGTCACACGTCTTATCACAACATACAAAAGTATGTGAAATTCCAACGGCGGGACAAAGTTACCCCGGCTTACGGTACTTTTGTGACAAATGGGATAGTATACATCAGTCTTATTCCAGACGCTTTCGTGATTATCGACTTTAGATAACCGTTTTCAAAAGGTATGGGCTTATTTTTGGCCAACGTCATACGATAAGACCCAACCAATGCCAAAGGTTTTTCAAGAAAGTCTTGTTATTAATAGCGTCGTTGTTCAACAGCGACTGAAATGATAAAACGTAATATTTTTTAAGCGGTTTTTTTTCCTTGTTCGCTCATGATAAACCGCGTTACTAACTCGGATGTTCTCCGTCGTCTTTGACATGATTGATACAATTCGGTCCAACATGTCTGAGTACAACGAGTGCAAGTTGAACTCGAACTGTACACGTTGCTCGAGCAAATACTCCGCGAACCACAGAACATGTTCTTCTTCTTCTTTCTTTTTAGGCGTTTACAGGCCATTCAGGCCCATTGCCGCAACAACCACTTGCCTCCACCTGTCTCGGTCTCTTGCCAGCTCTTCCCCATCCTCTATTCCAAGTTCCCTCAAGTCCTTGACCACTCTATCCTTCCATCTTTGTCGAGGACGTCCTCTAGGCCTTTTTGTATTTGGCTTCCATTTCGTAGCCTGTCCAATTGGCCCCTCCGATCTCCACACGTGCCCGGCCCAGCTCAGCCTACTACTTTTTAAAATTCCGTTAATATTCGGTTCTCCGTACAGGTCTTGGATCTCCTGATTTGTTCTTACTTTGTATTCTCCTTCGTTATTTTTTTTTTGGACCATAGATTCTCCTTAATATCTTCCGCTCGAAGGTGGCCAATTTTAGTTCATCCGATTTTGTAGTGGCCCACGTCCCACATGCATACAAAGCTATAGGTCTTACTAGTACTTTATAAAGGGTTATTTTTGTCTTCCATGATAATATCTTTGATTTAAATAGAGGGACCAATCCAAAATAACATCTGTTTGCCGCTGCTAATCTAATCTTTATTTCCTCGTGGCTATTTGCATAATAACATAATAACAGAACATGTTCTTCCCTCATTATCGCCTTGATCTCGTCGCTCTGAAATGTAATGGAATGATAAATCATGAACAGAACGCATGGGCGCAATGTGTGTATGTTGAAAATCGTTTAAAGCAGAAACACTAGGCGGACGGGATATGCCGGTAAAGAAACGTAAATGTGTTTCGAATTCAGACGATTCTCGTAGTGCGTGGATCACAACGTGGTGATCATAAGCAATACGAACAAACCGTGACTAACCTTTTCGCGTAAGTTTTTTACATTCAGATTACGATTGACGCTATCCTATATTTGCTGGTTACAGTCCGGTCGACCTCTTCGATATCATATTCTACCAGATCGACCGACCACGTGTCTGCGTCCAACGTTGTCGTGGGCGAGTAGAGCACGGGCGATTTCAAAGCAAAATAACGTCAAATAATATTTAAAATAAAAACATATACTACAAGTTTTTTAACTAAATTATTTGGTTATGCAATTAATACTTTATTTTGTTTGATTGATGATTTAAATCAATCAAATTTGTTTTTTTGTTATTATTGTCAGTGGATAAGGGGAAATCCCATGTTCTAGAATATGCGATGATTATCTCGTTAAGGTAATTTCGAGAATGTTCTAGATAATCGACGCCGATATATATATACCGGCTGGTCAGATGCTCATTCAATCAGTCCGTGATAGTGATGGGAGTTTTCGTTCCATTTTGTGAATCGTTCCTATCGTTCCAGGTCCGGAAAAGGAACCAGTTCAAATGATTCGTTCCTTCGGTCCTTTCGTTCACAAAATATATTATAGTTCACAGTGTACGGGCCCCGTTATTACCGGGCGGCGGAACCGGTATTCCGTTAACTAAAATAATTATAACTCAATTGTAATATATTAACCGCCGTAAACACATTATCACAAATATTAATAGTCGATATTTAAATATTTTGGATTGTATTCATGTTTTATAATTAGGATTAGGAATAGGTATTTATAAATTATAAAATAAAAAAACCCAACGGTGTTTTTGCAGTCTTTGCATTTATATTACAATAACAATAAATTCAATAAATTACTATTTAAAATAATAATAGTACAAAAAATGATTAGGAAGTTACCTGAAATATGTATTATAGATTGCCATTTAAAAACATTAATGTTTCCATATTTTTTATGGAAAGTCTATTACGCCTGTCTGTTTGTGTGTATCCGGCTTTAGAAAACGTTCGTTCGCATGGAACTGATGTTGATGGCACTCCCAATCTTTGTAACATCAAATGGTATATATTTGGATATATACGTTTCATTTCCTTCCACCATACAAGAGGATCTGATTTCCTTGGGATTAAAGGCTCATTAAGAAATTTATCTAATTCCACAATTGCATCGGAAGTGTCAGTTCTCACTGTTGTAACTTCTTTTACCTAAAAAAATATAATACGTAATAGGCTATTTATTATCATAAATTATCGTTATTTGATAAATTGTTTAAAAATGTAAATTAAAATTCATACCTGTGAATCAAATTCTTTCCATATCTCAAAGGTTTCTTTTTTTTCAGTTGACATAGTGATTTGTTCGTTATCTGTAACTATATTTTCTTCTTGATTAATAGATTGTCTTTTGCGTTTAATTATACTTGAAATCTTGCGCACGACGTTTTGATAAGTACGGATATAATATGTCTCGCTACTAAATCCTTTTTTTTTAAAACGTGGATCAATTAAAGTTGCTTCAGCAAAAGTAGAATTGTCTTCCATACCGGCAAATCTGTTTTCGGCTTTATTTTCAATCTTTAAAATCATAGAATAAATATCAAGTGGTAAGTTTTTCTCAGTTCTCATTATTTTTATGTGAGATAACAATGCATTTGTGAGAACTATAACTTTGGAAATTGATACCCCTTTTTCCGAACTTAACTCAATTGTAACTTCTTTAAAAGGCTTAAAAAGTTTGCAAAGTTTGCAAAGTTCTTGTCCAACTAGTCAATTGTGAACAACTATTAACTATCGATTTCAATTTTGATTTTCAATAAATTATAAGAATTACGGCTAAAAATAATCTATAGCCATGATAAGAATATAAAATACACGGAGTAAGAATATGAATCATTATCTTGGTCCGTGATAAAATATTATCTACAATCTAATTTTCGAATATTCCTAATTATAATAGACAACTTACAGCCCGTTCACACGATTCGATATTTTTACCGTATCGGATATTTTCCCGATTCGGTGTCTTTCGGTTGGAGTGTTCAGACGGTACGGTAATTTAACCGTACACCGTACTCAACCCTACACCGTACTCGGTTTTCAGTTGCATTCGTATCGTATGTGCATCAAGACGCGTGAAGATGGACTCGAATACATTTATATTAATATACTGGTATCGCAAATATCGTCAACAGCAACGGATTTCAAATCGAAGATTCTGGGTACATCCTATTGTGAGACAAAGGAATATTTTGGGCTCTTTCAATACGCTAATGTGTCAATTACGACAGGACGAAACAAAATTTTTTAATTATTTTCGAATGTCGATACCTACTTTCGATGACCTATTGAGAAGAGTAGAAATTAGTTTGACAAGGCAAGACACAACTATGAGAGCAAGCATCAGTCCAGAAGAAAAATTAGCCATCTGTTTAAGGTAAGTTATATAGTTTTATTTTCGTACTTATTCATCTTTTAAAGAAAATAATAACTTTTAATCCTAACTTGTTGTATATTATTGTAATTGTCGAACTATCATAGCTGTAGCTAAAAGTTCTAAAATAAAATAAAATAAAAAATAACTTGACAAAATATAATAAGTAATAATAATAATAATATACTAATTTAATAATTATAATAACAATTAATATATTTAGCTCTAAATTATATCAGCAAAGTCGTATTCTTCAGACTCTTGACTTGTGGTTGACATTACTGAAACTGGTGCTGAAATCACACTTTCTGGGCTAGCTTGTGGTTGGTGTACGATTATGTTCTGGAAATGTGGTTGACGTTGTTGAGGCAGTTGGGAGTAATTTGGCCACGGATAATTATGTTGCATAGGAGTTGGTGTTTGTAAATTATTTTGATCATTGTATGCATATTGCGAGGTTTTCTTTTTAATATTTTGTAACAACGATATGACGCCCGCTTGGAATTCTAAAGTTTGATCCTCATTAAGTGATGACATGATAGGCAAAAGGCCTTTGAAAAATGACAAATGATGGTTTTCTTCGTTCCTTGGTGTCTGTATTTGGTGATCGATAAATTTTAACATTTTTGCATCCAATTCACGCGACGGATCTGACTTGTGCTTCTTCTGCGTACCAGAAATACTAGGTTGGTTAGCTGGTGATACATTAAAAAGGTTTTTTTCCCTCTCATCAGTTTGGTGTGATCCTTCGTTTTGCTCAATCGGACCATCCTCAGTGCTTTCTTGAGCAGTTGTTGAGTCCATTATTTTTTTTAAGAAACACATTTGATTATGGTACAAATACAATCTTGATGGCTTGGCAGAAGATCCAGATCTTTTTTCATCTTTTTGTTTTTTGATCGATTTCATCCACGAATCTCTTGTTTGAGTCCATTTTTTCAAAACGATTTTACCTGGTTTTAATGATTTAAATGATAATTAATTTTTATACAAATATAATTATTTATTTTTAATTTTTCTCTTAGGTATTTAGCGTCTGGGTGTTCATTTAAAGACCTTCATTATTCCTATCGAATCGGTATTTCAACAATAAGCTACATTGTAAGAGAAGTAACAACAAATATATGGGTCAATCTACATAACGAATTTATGCAATTACCAACTACATCTACGGCCTGGGAACAAATATCGAATGGTTTTCAATCAAGGGCCAATTTTCCACACTGTATTGGTGCTGTTGATGGAAAACATATTAGAATAAAAAAGCCTTCAAATAGTGGATCGATGTATTTCAACTACAAGGACTATAATTCAATTATATTATTAGCCGTTGTAGATTCGGAATACCGGTTTATATATGTGAGTGTCGGATCATATGGAAAAGATTGTGATTCTTCAATTTTTAAGGGAACGACATTTTGGAAAAAGTTGACTGAAAATGCATTGCACTTACCTATACCAAGACCTTTAAGTGAACATTCAAACACAAATGTTCCTTTCGTGATTATTGGAGACGAAGGTTTTGCATTAAATGACAATTTATTAAGGCCTTATGGAGGGACACATTTAGATAAGGTTAAACGTGTATTTAATTATCGATTAACTAGAGCTAGAAGATATGTAGAATGCGCTTTTGGTATCCTGTCAAACAAATGGCGAATATTTCATAGACCTTTGGACGTAAATGTAGAAACAGTTATCTGGGTAGTAAAAGCATGCACAGTATTACATAATTTTGTCAGACAAAAAGATGGATTTGATTTTCAAAGTGACCAGATAAAACCAGAAATAAACTGTATTCCTAATATATTAAGCGCACAATCAATCAGAGGAGGCAGTTCTGCAAATTCAATCAGAGCAACATTTGCTGAATATTTTGTCTCTGAAGTTGGATCAGTTCCTTGGCAAGATGAATCCATAGGTTTTTAAATATACAAGTCATCTGCTATCTGTATGATTAAATTACTACAATCTATAGTATTTTTATATTACGCTGTCAAGAAAATTCAAAATCAAGATTTTATTAGATTATTATAATTACATACCTACGTCATATTAGTTATTATTATTTTATTAGGTACATATATATTACATGAGTTATTATTTATTAACTAATTAAAATATAGTTTTTATTTATTATATACATATTTATCTTTCCTTTTTCGTTATAAACTCATGCTTATAAAATGTAACGTGACTGAATTACAAAATACACAAATTAAAATAATATTAAAAATTATAATTACTTACCAAAATGTTGCCTTTCTTTTTGATCCAATGCTGGAAAGTCTTCATTTAAAATTGTACATATTTCCCTCCATGCTGATTCTTTCGATATCTTATCCTTATATATGTCTAATGTTTTATCCCACAATGCAGGTCTTGCTTCGACCAATGATATAAGCATATCTGTATTTATATCATCCATTGTATTTATATATCCGATCACTTGTAATTAAAAATTTAATAACTAATTGTAATTGAATTAAATTAAATTAGCTGTAATTAAAACACTTGTAATTTTATTAAATTGTAAAACACAAAAATGACTATATACTAATAATTATTCGACAGTAGCACAGACGAAAAATGACGCATTATCGGTCAAAATATCGAATCGTCTGAACGCACTGTCTATAAATGCATTGCCACGATAAGCCGAATCGGTTTTTCCACTGTACGACCGAAACCGATATGCAGTGACAAAACCGAATGACAAAATCGACCTAATCGGTAATTTTACCGTATACAGTAAAATGCCGTATCGTCTGAATATACGCATTTAAATTATATTGACACTGGCTTATACGGCAAAATCAACGATACGGCAAAACCGCCGATTCGGGATGATGTGAACGGGCTCTTACTAGTACAACAATTATACTATGCACTTTTAGTACATTTTACCATTGGAACATAGGAACGAAATGGAACGAAGGAACGAATAGGAACGTTCGGGTGGAATCGTTCCTAATCGTTCCTCTACTGGACTCGTTCATTTGGATCGATTCGTTCAGGAACGACCCATCACTATTTCTGGTTGTGACGTTCGGTGTAAATGTGTTTATTCGCCGCCGCCAGTGGCGTATTTGAGGGGACCGATGGGGGCAATCGCCTTCCCCGAGAATTTTTAGACCAAGACAAATTTAATATAAGTAATGGGTATTTTGCTAAGAAACAAAAATTATGATTTATTTTATAGTATTACTACATTTGAAAACTTTTCAAATTTTACACTAATTTAAATAACGCAAAACGTTAAATTTTTCATAACGTTTTAATTGTCAATAATGGTAAACGGAAAATTTTTGAATAAAAAATTAAATATATATATATTTAATATATATAAAAAAGCCTCATTGAATAAAAAAATTAAAAATATTTCTCCTACATAACCTAGAAAAAGGAATGATGAATTCATACATATGTTCAAAATTGAAATTGGACATCAGGAAGTACTAAAACTAATCTTTCTCTTATTGGTCTAAAGGCATATAAAATACAGCATGCTCCAACATGCTCAATACAGGAACTTTCATAACAGTTTGTTGTATATTAGTATTGGAAACTATTGAAATAATACTTGCTACGAGTTCTCGTGTTTTATATGCATTTTTTGCGTCCCTTTGTGGAGGATAGACATTTTAATAAATTCCATCCGGGTTACCTAAATTTAATTTAAAGGGTGTAAATGTATTATTACGTAAATAACACATACGATGGATATTCTTTAGAAGTAATGCCAGCATATTAATATTAATATTTGACTTGCCATATAATTTTGATAAATTCAATAGGTGAGTGAAGTGACATATATTTTACTTTATTTTATGTAAAAATATTGGAACACATAATTTGTTGATGTATTTGAATAAGTTAATAGAGAAAACCACAAATTTCATAGTTTATAAATTAATATATTTTTAAACGATAAATATTAAAACGTTTACTAAATACCTACAAAATTCGATTGAATTTGTCATATTATTTGAAAATTAAGAATATAAACAATTATAAAAATGATATAACTATATAAAATTTAAATTTGATTTTAGCGTTATTCCACTAAAAAATTATATATATTATTCATCAAGGTATAGAACAACATTTTATTAAGTGTTATATTTCATTATTTTTCTAGTTCTTAATCAAATCAGCTGTTTGATCAAGGTTTCTTATTTTTAAATATATTACAATACAAATCTAGTCAAATACTATTTCGTCATCTTTTGTCAAAATTTACTAATTTAAACTTAGCACCCTATTATTTGTTTGTTTTATTGCTTTTTCATCAAGAATTTTATAAAGTAAAAAAAATATAATAATCTCATAAATGAATAATTACCACGAATAGCTGCTTAACAATAATATAATTATAATTCATAATTTGAATAAACAAAATATTATTGTATTCCTGCTGTACAATAGAATCGATATTCTATACAAATTAGCATTAATTTAATTTGAAAAACCACTTGTATTTTTTGTTATAAATTAGTGTTTATAATTTTTAATGACAACATTTTAAATATGTCATATCATATTCTAAAGTAAAAATTCTTTAAATACGGAAATTTTAGTCATTTTTTTTTTTTTTTACCTAAAATAATTATTTAACTCTGTTATATGTACTATTATAAAGAAATATAATTAAAAATTACTTAAAATAACGTATGGAATAATAGTAATTCCTGTATGAATATCACTTGAGATGTTTAATAAGTGAATTTATTATAAATATTATTATAATTATTGTAAAATATAAATCATTTTAGTATGAATATTGTTTTTTCTTACTGTATACTACATCACAAACAGTAATTAAATTATTCCTACATAATTATATTATAAACATTACTAATTATTTTTTACCTCGTGTTTGGACCGAGATCCGAGCGAGATCTGTTTATCACCATGTACTACTTATTATATTTAATAAATATTAACATCTATTACGTTTATCATCCAAAAGTTTTAAATGAAATTTAATCTTGATGTGCTACGTAAATATATCATTAATAATAAATGTGACAAAACAGCAAACTCCAATACGACAGAAATCCAATAAAACTATATACATATTATAGCTGTAGTTAGCAATTTATTATTAAAAGTCAAAGTTTAAACAAAATAAGATTTCGAACATTTACTAACTGTACTCCATATAACACGTATTTTAGTTATAATATAATTTAAACCATAAAATTGGACACGAAACATACACAGCACCAAGTTATCAAGTTTGAAAATGTTAGCCCCCCCTTTCTACAAAAAATATTTTTCTGGCTACACCAGTGATTTAAAGGATATAGTGTATTAGTAATTCGTTGAACGGTATCATGTTTATTTTATTATCTTTTTTGTTTTTTTTTTTTAACAGATATATTATTTTTTTGAAATTTTTACGTATAAATGTAAAATAATTTTAAAAATATTGATACATTTATCAGATAGATTGAATACATTTTAAAACGGGTATTGATATTATTTATTTCAATTTATAAAGATAGTATTTTTATCTCAAAACAGTTCATATTTTATATATATATACAAAACGTATTCGTGCTATTGTCGAACCAATAACAATGTTGGTTATATTGAAATCTATGGATTTCTATACACAATGTGTATTTCGTGAGCGA